TAGCAGAGCTGGGTCCTCTTCTGCTCTGTCAGGCCTTCCGTGTGGGGATCTGTGGCAGATCTTGGTCAAACAGCGAAGTCCCGAGAAAAGCCTCCTCAGGTCTCCGTTGTTTCTGTGTGCTGGCAGCTCCTCTGCACTCCCTGGCAGGGCATTCAGCGCGGGTCACTCCTCGGCTCTGCACAGGAGGGTTAGGTGGTGGAGTGCGTCTCTCAAGAGTGGTGCTGCATCGGGGACTGGCCATCTGTGTTTCTGGTCTGTGACCTCACGTCCTGTGACTGGAGGGAGACAGTAGTGGTGACTCTGTTTTTTCCTTTTTCCTTTTGTCCAGTCCATGCTCTTTTTCGAAAGATGAAGGAAGTTATGTGCAGTTCAGAAAAGCATTTTTAAATTTTTTTAAATCACAAAAAGCACCCCACACTTGGTTATATGTATATAGTTGACAGTTTTTGTCTGTTTTTGCCTCTTTCATCATCTTCATGGGTATTTGTCATTGCTTAATTTTTAATCAGAAATACAAATCCAGTAATGGATCAAATCATGTAGAACTCAGTATGAAACGTGGTGTTCTGCTCCTCCCCACCATTCTTTCTTCCCAGAGAAAAATTCTTTTAACTTTCTGTTTCTTACTTCCTGCACCCAGTATAAGTGGATTCCTCTTTTCCGCATTCGCCAGCTGTAGACCTGCCTGCATGAGGAGTGTGGACGCCACTCATTTGTGTCGCTCCCTGTCCTCTGCCTCTCGGTACCATTGTGTGGTTCCTTCTAGTTGTGTGCTGGCGACTTTTCTCTTACTGTCAATCTTTCCATGGGTCTTATCTTTAGATGTGTCCCTCATAAGCAGCATGTACTCAAGTTTGTTTTAATTAAGTTTGTGGGTTTTTTTTTTTCCTTTTCGAGACAGAGCATTGCTCTTGTTGCCCAGGCTAGAGTGCAATGGCGCAATTTTGGCTCGCTGCAACCTCTGCCTCCCAGGTTCAAGCAATTCTCCTGCCTCAGCCTCCTGAGTAGCTGGGATTACAGGCATGTGCCACCATGACTGGCTAATTTTGTATTTTTAGTAGAGATGGGGTTTCTCCATGTTGGTCAGGCTGGTCTCGAACTCCCAACCTCAGGTGATCAGCCCATCTCGGCTTCCCAAAGCCAAAGTGCTGAGAATACAGGTGTGAGCCACTGTGCCTGGCCTAAGTTTTGTTTTTAAACCAGTGTGAAAAATGTAGTCTTTTGAGGTCTCAGTACTACTCTTGGCTTTCTGTGTGTCCTGTGTGTAGTGTAACGTTTTCTCTTTTCTGAACTTCTTTTGGATTGAGTCCACTTATTTCTGTTCCCAGTGGCCACTCCATGTTTATAGTTGTACATTCCTATACTGCTCTTTTAGTGGTTTTCTTAAAGAATACTGCATTTGTTCTTGATTTACCAGAGTGTAATCAAAATTGGTACTTTCTCCAAACAATGCCAGGATCTCATAATGTTCACGTTTCAGCTATCCCTCCCTCAGTGTGTATGCTATTGTTGCTGTCCATATCATTTAAGCCCCAGAAGCCATTTGTTACATAGCAGTATTCATGCTGGCTTGCCCAAGTATTTCCCCTTCATGTTACCCTGTTCCTTCTGCAGCTGCAGGCTGGATCTGGGACTGCTGTCATCCTGGCTGAAGAACACTCTTAGGAGTTCCTTTTTTGGACCACCTAGTGATTCATCCTCTGTTTTTCCGAAAATGTCCTTGTGTTTCCTCATTATTTTGAAGAACATTTTTATTCAGTATCCACTTTTAGGTTGGCAGTGGCAGATACCTTCTTTCAGGACTTTGAAGGCATCATTCAAGAACCTTCCGGCATTCACTGTTTCAGACAGGAAGTCAGTTTAGTCTTACTTTGCTTCCCTTAAGATAATCTCTTTTTCATTGGCTGCTTAAATTTTTTTTGTCTTGTTTTTATAAAGTGTTTTTTGGGTATGTATAAACATTGTTACTTTTTGGAAGTAACTAATTGACTGTGGAATTCTGTCTTGTCTTTTTCTTTGAATATACTGAGCAGCTCAAGTCTTTGCTTGACAAGTCTGTAATTTGAAACCCTGCACATCTGTTTCTGTTGTAGGTTGTTGCTCTCGCTTTGCTTTCATGTGATTTTACCTCCCAGTTGCCTGGTTATTTATTTGTTGCTTATTTATTTTTGCTTAGCACCAGACATGATATATGAAAAATGATAGAAATACATTCATACCTGGGATGATGTTTTTTCCCTGCAGAGATAATTTGGCTTCTTTTCTGCAGGCAGCTTGGCCCACTAGAATCCACGATCCGCTCTGTCCCATTGGAGGCAGTGAGCTGACTGGAAGCTAGCACAGGTCCCTAAGAGGACCAGTCTGCGACTTTGCCCACTCCAGCACAGGGCTGCTCACCTTGGCACTACTGACTTTTTGGGCCAGATAATTCTTTGTTGTAGGGGGCCCTCTTGTGCATTTTAGGATAGTTAGCAGAATCCCTGACCTCAACCCAGATTCTGGAAGCACCCTGCCACACAAGCACATCAAGATGTGACAGCTAAAAATGCTCCAAACATTACGAACTGTCTGTTGGGGAACACAGTCATCCCAGTTGAGAGCCACTGGTCTAACTCGTGTGAGTCCAACTCGCCGTGTGTGACGTCTGTCAGGTCTCTCCTTGGTGGACCTTAGAGCCCAGGTTTTGTCCTTAAGGCTCTGTGAGAGTGTCAGAAGCAATAACCATATGAGGTGGATTTCTACCAGAAATGGTTATAATGGGAAAAGAACTTCTGAGACTGAGAGAAGTAGGCTTTGAGTGCCAGACACTAGCATATTATTAGCAATCTAGAAAATTCAGTTGTATGGCCTGGCTCATTTTCTGATGCTGGATAAAATGTTTCCTAGTCATTCATTCAGTTTTTATTAGTTATGTTCCAAAGCAACACTGAATATTTTTAACATAAGTAGTGTAAACTTTTGTTTGACAAGATGGAATTAGTACAGTCGTTGTTTTCCTTTTTCTAGGTCACCAACAATGGCTGGAGGTTTGTTCGCCATGAACAGACAGTATTTCCACGAACTTGGACAGTATGATAGTGGCATGGATATCTGGGGAGGAGAAAATTTGGAAATATCATTTCGGGTAATTTTATTTTTTGCATGCTCAATTAGTAGAATATGATTTTCATCCATGATCTCATATTTTCTGTAAATTCTCATTATTATAATTTTTTTTTGAGATAGAGTCTTCTCTGTCACCCAGGCTGGAGTGCAGTTGTGTGATCATGGTAACTGCAGCCTCCTGGGCTCCAGCGATCCTCTTGCTCAGCCTCCTGATTAGCTGGGTCTACAGGCATGCGCCTGTAGTTTTTCTGTTTTTGTAGAGATGGGGTCTCACTGTGTTGCCCAGGCTAGTGTCAAACTCCCGGGCTCAAGTGATCCTCCTGCCTCGGCCTCCCAGAGTGCTCCATGATTATCTTTATTGACAAACGATCCTTAATAAGTGCTACTTTGCCAGAATCTGTGATATGGATGATATCTGTTCTAAATGTCAAAAGTATCTGTGTTGATCCAGCGGCTAGGAAAACAACAAAATGGAAAAGCGTATAAGAACACAGGTATTTATTCAAACTTATTTTTTTGAGACAGGGTCTTGCTCTGCTGCCCAGGTTGGAGTAGAGTGACATGAACACAGTGACTCACTGCAGCCTCAAAACTCCCGGGCTCAAGCGAGCCTCCTGCCTCTCGGCCTCCAGGGTAGCTGGGAGTACAGGCACACGCCACCACACCTGGCTAATTTTTTATTTTCTGTAGAGTTGTCTCCCTGTGTTGCCCGCTGGTCTTGAACTCCTGAACTCAAGCAGTCCTCCTGCCTTGGCCTCCCCCAAGGTGCGAGCCTCTGTGCCCAGCCTATTTTTATGGACTTAGAGATGCAAGTGCGTAGTGTGTGGCAGTAAAGTCTGGCCCTAGTGCACTCATCACTGGAATGATGGACACTGTACCCGGTGGGTGGTATGTCATCCCTCCTCCCTCCCACCTTTTAGAGTCTCCAGTGTCTGTTATTCCACCCTATGTATGTATTTATTTTTTAAAAATTATAAATGCAGCCGGGCGCGGTGGCTCACGCCTGTAATCCCAGCACTTTGGGAGGCCGAGGCGGGTGGATCACGAGGTCAAGAGATGAGACCATCCTGGTCAAAATGGTGGTGGCGCGTGCCTGTAATCCCAGCTACTCAGGAGGCTGAGGCAGGAGAATTGCCTGAACCCAGGAGGCAGAGGTTGCGGTGAGCCGAGATCGCGCCATTGCACTCCAGCCTGGGTAACGAGCGAAACTCCGACTCAAAAAAAAAAAAAAAATCCATCCCGCATAATCTGTCTTCTCCAATTACTAAGGTTTGAAGGGTGACAGTGTAGGTGGGGTCTGTGGCTCAGAGGAGTGTGGCGTAGACAGTCTTTGGAAAAGGCAGGAAGAGGGCAGGGAGAGAGCTGAGACTTCTCCTTCCGAGTAAATATCCCAGTATTTCTTCCCAACCATCTCCTAGTCCAGGTAGCACAAACCCTGTCAGATAATACTATGATACCTGTACATGTGTCCTGTATTTCTGCAGATGTATTGACTGTAGTATTTGTAAGAAGCAGGTTTTGGCTGGGTGCAGTGGCTCACGACTGTAATCCCAGCACTTTGGGAGGCTGAGGTGGGCTGATCACCTGAGGTCAGGAGTTCAAGACCAGCCTGGCCAACATGGTGAAACCCCATTTCTACTAAAAATACAAAAAAAATTAGCTGGGCATGGTGGCAGGCGCCTGTAATAACCTCTACTTGGGAGGCTGAGGCAGGAGAATGGCTTGAACCTGGGAAGCGAGGTTGCAGTGAGCCGGGTGCCACTGCACTCTAGCCTGGGGGACAAGAGTGAGACTCCATCTCAAAAAAAAAAAAAAAAAAAAGGCAGGTTTTCATTCTGTAAATTTTAGAATTTTAGGGTTAAAGGCCTAATGGATTTTATTGAAAGTTCAGTTTCTTTTTTTTTTTTTTTTTAAGATAAGGTAATCGAGTCCCACAAAAATGAACTTAACTCTAAAGTAGCTCAGATAGTCATGGACAAGATTTAGATGAGCTAAGGCCTTTTGAATCTTAATCTGGAGTTATTCTATATATTTTATTTTTAAAAATCTATTTTCTAAGATATTATATGCATTGTATAAGCAACTACCTGTGAAACTGAAATTAGATAAGCACTTCTGTCCTTAGGTGCCTAAGATAAAGTCTCTTGATCTGTTAAAGCAGCACAGTTTGGTAAGTGCAGTTTCAGACACATGGTAGTAAGTGTGCATTATATGCACTGTTTCAGAATTTAGTTCCTTGTAATCATAAAGATAGAACAATGTGCACCTTCTGACTTTCTTCTGTTTGAATATTTGTATCTGATAAAATATCTTGCCAAGTTTCATAAACACCTATTGAATAAAGATTAATTTTATTGAAAATTCTTGGCTGGGTGTGGTGGTGGCTCACACCTGTAATCCTAGCACTTTGGGAGGCCGAGGTGGGTGGATCACCTGAGGCCAGGAGTTCAAGACCAGCCTGGCCATTATGGTGAAACCCCATCTTAAAAAAAAAAGAAAATTCATACACTGGTTTCACAACAATGTGAGGCAACTGCTAGCACCTGTTTTTGCTTCTGGCCAGATCTGGATGTGTGGCGGGAAGCTCTTCATCATCCCTTGCTCTCGAGTAGGACACATTTTCCGAAAAAGGCGACCATATGGATCTCCTGAAGGCCAGGACACCATGACACACAACTCTTTGAGGCTGGCACATGTCTGGTTGGATGAATACAAGGTGAGATTAAGTATCTTGTTTAGAAGGAGGAATGACAGGCCCGTAAGTGACTGGCCTAGTGATAGCTTTGGTTGCTTTTCTTTTCACTCTGGTGTTTCTGTCTTGGTTAACCTTCACCTTAGAGCCATCTCTTTCTAGTCCCACCCCCCACTCCCCACCCCCCAGCTAGCACTTCACTTCTTTTTGGTTCTAATCTGACTCTTTTACTTTTGTAAATGTCTGCTCCTTAAGAGGTAATGCAGCTCATGTTGGAAGAAATTCTGTCTTCAGTACTTATTCCTTCTGGTCCCTCTATTGTGATAACCACAGAACTTGTTTTTTTGTTTTTTTGTTTTTTTTTTTTGAGACAGGGTCTTGCTCTGTCACCCAGGCAGGAGTATAGTGATGTGATCACCACTCACTGCAGCCTCAGTCTCCTGGGCTCAAGTGATCCTCCTGCCTCAGCCTCCCAAGTAGCTGGGACTATAGGCATGTGCCACCATCCCTGGATAATTAAAGAAATTTTTCTTTTTCTTTTTCTTTTTCTTTTTTTTTTTTTTAGAGATGGGATCTCACTAAGTTGCCCAGGCTGGTCTTGAACTCTTGGGCTCAAACAATCCTCCTGCCTCAGCCTGCCAAAGTGTTGGGACTATTCATGTGAGCCACTGCGCCAGGCCTGGCCTTTCTTTTCTCACTGGACTTTGTTGTAACCCAGTCCCACTTCTTCCCCTGGTAGACAGCACATTGAGAATTACCTCCACTTTCTCTTCTGCCTTAGATCACCTTACATATTTTCTTCCTAATGATTTATTGAGGTATAATCCACAAATTGATTTTGGAACATTTTGTCACTGCAAAAAGAAATCCATAATCTTCAATATCCACCCAAAATCTCCCTCTCTGCCTCAGCCCTGGACAACCAGTAATCAACCACTAATCTACTTCTTGTCTCTGCTTAATTTGCCCTTTCTGGATTGGATATTTCATACAAATGGAATCATAAACAATGTGGTTTTTTCCTGTCCTGGCCTCTTCAGTTGAGCACAGCATCTTCAGGTTCCTCTGTGCTATACCGTGTATGGGTACTGCATTCCTTTTTATTGCCGAATAATATTCCATTGTATCAATGGACCACATTTTACTTATCTATCAGTTGATCAACATTTAGGTTGTTTCCACTTTTTTTTTTTTTTTTTTTTTTTTTTGAGGCAGAGTCTCACTCTGTCAGCCAGCCTGGAGTATAGTGGCAGGATTTCGGCTCACTGCAGCCTCTGCCTCCCAGGATCAAGCCATCCACCTACTTTAACTCCCCAGGGCCCACAGATACACGCCACCATGCCTGGCTAATTTTTGTATTTTTGGTGGAGATGGGGTTTCGCCATGTTACCCAGGCTGGTCTCGAATTCCTGAGCTCAAGTGATCCACCCACCTTGGTCTCCCAAAGTGCTGGGATTACAGGTATGAGCCACCAGGCCTGGCCTGTTTCCACTTTTTGACTTTATGACAAATGCTGCTGTGAATTTTTTTTTTTTTTTTTTTTTTTTGAGATGGAGTTTTGCTCTTGTTGTCCAGGCTGGACTGCAATGGTGCAATCTCAGCTTACTACAATCTCTACCTCCTGGGTTCAAGCGATCCTCCTGCCTCAGCCTCCCAGGTAGCTGGGATTACAGGCATACACCACCACGCCCAGCTAATTGTGTATTTTTAGTAGAGACGGGGTTTCACCATGTTAGCCAGGTCTCGAACTCCTGACCTCAGATGATCTGCCCACCTAGGCCTCCCAAAGTGCTGAGATTACAGGTGTGAGCCACCGCGCCTGGATGCTGCTGTATTTGTATATAGTATTTTTAATCATGTGTTGTGCGCCTACTGTATGCCAGGCTCTGTGTTAGGTTTTGGGAATAAAAGATGAATAAGGGAGTGCACAGGAATTTTCCACACTGTGAGGGAAACGTAAACAGAGACACGTGTAGCATGTGCTGGAATGATGGGGACAGAGCAGTGCGCTGTGCTTGCAGGGGAGCAGGGACTCCAGGGTGCTTCTCCACAGGATTGTTCATCTCCTCTGTCTCCTTGACCAGACTTTGGTGTAATTCCATGTCAATCTCTGATTCATCACTGGCTCGCATAGTTCTCAACACATGGTCCCTGTCTTAGCCACTCTTTCAGGAGGCCTGCCAGTTTAAAGTCATTTTCATAATCAGATTCATACCGTATTTGGCCCTTTCCCCATGCTGACATTGCACTGAGTGTGTAAAATCAGGAGAGCAAAGTGGCTGCCGTTTGGCGTAAATCGAGGCATCGGCACCCAATTAACTATAGTCACCGCCTTCTTCACCAGCACTCACTCAGATGACAAATGCCAGTTTCATTTCAGAATGTCATTGACATAATAATTTTAGTAAACCTCAATGTGCCTTTTTAGTATCCTGTGTGAGTACGCATGCTCACACAGAAAGCACTTCTGCCGTGTACTGAAGTACAGCGGTTGGTTCAAGGAGAAACACTTGTGTGGCTGAGTTGTGGGTGGAGCTAGCCACTGCTCTCCAGGACACATTCTTTCTTTTTTTGAGATGGAGTCTCTGTCGCCAGGCTGGAGTGTAGTATCGTGATCTCGGCTCACTACAACCTCTGCCTCCCGGGTTCAAGCGATTCTCCTGCCTCAGCCTCCTCAGTAGCTGGGATTACAGGCACGTGGCATCACGCCCAGCTAATTTTTGTACTTTTAGTAGAGATGGGGCTTCACCATGTTGGCCAATCTGGGCTCGAACTCCTGACCTTAAGCCCGGCTCGGCCTCCCAAAGTGCTGGGATTACAAGTGTGAGCCACCACGCCCAACTGAATAGACCAGTAGATTTTAATGCAACAGTGTACAAATTGTAATGCGATTTCATATTCCACATTGTTACTAAACTTCAAAAGTTATTGAATATAGGTTGTAGTTTTACATATATTTAACCAAAACAACATAGCATAACAAGGTAAATGCAGATGTGAGAATTCAGCTGACTTGTTTTAAGTCAGCCAGCAAAAAGGTTTGCAAAAATATAAAGCAATGTCACTGTTATCAGTAAATTTTGTTTGAAATGAGTTTCTAATTATTTTGAGGAAGTAGTAATTCGTAGGTCTCTCTGTTTTGATTTCTGCATGGTAAATATGAACAGCCACAGCCCACACAGCAGAACCTCCTGGGGTTTCAGTAAAGTGGAAGAGCGTCAAGTACTGAGACTAATGAGTCGGAGACCCACTGATCGCATGTGTACGCCTGCTTCCCTGATTCTCAGATAGACTGAATTGTGCAAAGAATCTCTATAATTGCATAATAATCATTTTTTAATGAAAAATTCCGTTATTTCACTTTTTAAAATTCAGGAGCAGTATTTTTCCTTAAGACCTGACCTGAAGACGAAAAGCTATGGAAACATCAGTGAGCGCGTTGAATTGAGAAAGAAGTTGGGCTGCAAATCATTTAAATGGTATTTGGATAATATATACCCAGAGATGCAGATATCTGGGCCCCACGCCAAACCCCAGCAACCCATTTTTGTCAACAGAGGCCCAAAACGCCCGAAAGTCCTTCAGCGTGGAAGGGTAAGAAAGCAGTCTTTTCCAAGTGTCTCGTGAAAAGTGTTTGATAGGAAAAGCTTTGAGATGCCCATAAGCTATGACATTGTGGACCTAACAGAGTCTAATGACAGACTTGAGCTTGCCTTTCATTATATTCTCTCTATGAGAACTTCCTCTACTCAAGTGCAGGACCTTAGAAGTATTCCTATCTGTGCTGCTGTTACTAAGGATCCTTGCCTTGCCAGCCTAGAAGGGAGCGTGCCTTCTGTGGGGATAAATTATGTGACAGCTTTCAAGAGCGCAGAGGCACAGGTGAATACACCCTGGATAGAGGCCGGTCCCAAAAGGAAAACAGGTGGAGAAATGGAGCAGTGATCTGCTGTTTGCTCACAGCTCTGGGAACTGACTCAGTGGAGGTGGTAGTGAGGGTCAGAGTTGGGGAATGGGATGGGATTTCATGCCGGCTGTTCCCAAAAGTCACCTGAGCTCAGCGGAAAACACATTGATCAACCACATTTCCTTAGCTCTCTTTGGGTCCTAAACTCATCAGTTATATGGTCACAGTTAAATTGTGGGGGTCTGGCCAGAAAATCATCCCTTTCTCCTGAGTCATCTCTTAGAGTTGGTTTCTTAAAGCTGAGGGCAGATGTTGTCTGTGTTGCCCAGTGTCCCTTCTTTTATGAAGAAGGCACTTCTCCCAAAACCGTGCCAACTCTCCCGCAGTGGCTAGGAGGAAGCCTAGAGCTTTCCCCTTTCCTCAGCGCTCGACCCTATAATAAGACAAAAGAGCCGCCCAGATGTTTAGGATGAGATGTTTTTCTCTAAGTAAAAGAGAGAGCAGCGTGCCCTGCACTTGATTCCGTCCATTCTTAGCTCTTGCTGTTTCTCGTGCCATTGCAGTCCCTGTGAGCGTTGGCATCTGTGTATCTCCAGTTCATGCATGTTGCCTTTAATTGTGTACTTTTTCATACGTGTTGTTCTTACATCCCTGACTTCATTTTAAGGCTCTTTAGGGCAGGGATGATATTTTAATTTCCTTCCTCCGCTATACATAGGAAACACGTATATGTAGCTAGACTTTCTCCCTGACACTGCCTGCATGGTAAAGTCACTAATAACTTTTGGAGCTGCAACTTTTGTGTGTCCTGATGCTCCTGTGTGCTGAGGCGAGAACTTAGGAATTAAAAAATGCGTATCTTTTTATGAGCCTTGGAACTGGTACCTGTGGAACAGTCTTTTCACATTTTGCTCAGAACCACATCCAGGCTTGGGAGGCACCTCGGGCACGGCCTCCCGCGTGCTGAGCTGCCAGTGCCTTCTCTTACAGCTCCGTCACCTCCAGACCAACACATGCCTGGTGGCCCAGGGCCGCCCGAGTCAGAAGGGAGGCCTCGTGGTGCTGAAGGCCTGTGACTAC